AATCTGCAATCGCTGCAAGCGTTTATCCATTACCTGTAATTCTCGAATCATCATTAGTTTTCCTTCCAGTTTTAAAAATGTTGTTCCTCAATCTTTTCTTTACGTGGTGTTGACAGCAAACTACAGGCCTGCCTCCAAACTGGCATAGAGTAATTAAGGAAAGTTTTATTTAAATCTGCACATGTCCAATTAACACCATTGGACTTGTTCTCTGTGATGGGCAACCGTTCTGTGAAAGTGAGGATTATATTAGCCTCCTTTTTTTTTTGTCAATCTTTAAAATCCTCATTGAAGCACTTTATGTGTGTGTGTGTGTGTGTGTGTGTGTGTGTGTGTTTTTGTAAAAGTAAGCTCATTAGGCTTGATCTAAGAAAGAAAGCAGAATTTATACCACCACGAACTAAAAGATTGCTACTTGTGTCACGTGGGGTGCCATTAGAAGTAGGACATTGACTTGTTTGGAGCGCCATAAAAACTAGGACTCAACACTAAACTCAAAACTCAAAACTAGAGCCTCTCACACGAACGCGGGTACAACAGCAAGACACAACGTCACCACGACGTCACGACTGTCTGGTTTGTTCTCGAACACTAATGAGCAAGAGAGAGAGAGAGAGAGGACCCTGATTAGTCTGGCAGCATCAGTGTCAGACACTCAGCGGGGCGGCGTCCACAGCACAGTGTGTGCGTGTGTGTGTGTGTTATGTGTATACTCAAGCATGTATATGAGTCTCTGCTCCCCCCACACACACACTTTGCCATTCCTCTCTGTCTCACTTTCTTTCGTCTTTCTCGTTCTCTAAGCTCCAAAAACTCTGATCCCTGCATTCGCTCAGTCTGGCAAATGACTGCAGAGGCTGACAATCCACTGTCAGCGTGCGCCGCCACAGTCAATAACGCTGTCCCATGTCACCGCACCACACTGGCTAAAGCTCACATTTCTTATCCCTTTCCAAAAAAAAACTGCTGCTTAACAGCCCTTCTCTGCCTTTGCCAATCCTGCTAAACGCATCGCCATATCCCCCTCACACACTCCCCCCCTCCCCCATCCAAAACCCCACCCTGACACGTTTTTTTTTTGGTTCTCCAAATGGCCAGAACATCCTTGAGTGGAGTGAACGCTGCATATTTTAAGGTCAAAAAGAAGCACCCGGTGAAATTCGCTACCAAATGTGATGCGCTTTTCACGACACCCTCTGAATTCTAAGCAAGTGATGGGTGACTGATCTGGCTGTCTGACTGTAACAAGACAGGGTCATGTAGGCTGTACTCAAATACACACTCCAATTGCATACAGCACGCGCACGCAGACACACACACACACACACACACACGCATGCATGCATGCATGGGGCGCAGAGGGGCTCACACAAGTGTTAGGAATTGTAGTCTCCACGATAATCCACTTCTCCTCTATCGTGTTCCATTAACCTCGCAGTGTACACACACATGTTCCCTCTCTTAGCCCACACAGGCCCTCCACACACACACACACACACACACACACACACGATCGTGCACGTCTGTCAGTGTCGGGGGCCTGTGCCGTCCAGCTCCATTGTATCTGCATGAGGCTGAGATAATGGCATCTGTCGCTGCTCCTTTTGTCAGCCCCGGCCCCGGCCCCTGCTCACTGCTGGTCCCCATTAGCTGGCTGCTGGCCCACTGGCCTCTCCGCTCCACGCTCTGCTGCCTGACCGAGAAAAACGCAGGAGACGCCTGTCCCTTCCTCTAACTCCCACTTTCGTTATCCTTCCCCTCTCCTGTCCCTCTCCGGCTCCTCCCTCTGCTGCAGATTAAGAGCAGTCAGGGTAGTTTGGTAAACTGGAAAGGTGTGAATAAAAAGGAGGATATCTAAAGGGTGTGTTTTAGTTTCTTATAAGACTCAATTGCAACAGAAGGCTCACACTATAGTTTTATTAGTTTGTGTATCAGTTGGATAGCAATATGTGGAAAGATTGTTTGAATAATGGGATTAAATCATTTTTCTGATACCTCAATATCCCTTGAAACCCACTACTTTTAAACTTTTTGCAACACAGCTATTTAAACGTTGCAAAAGAATCAACAAAATGGACTCTGCAGCTGCAACTACCAGTTATTGTCATTGTCGATAACCTGACAATTATTTCCTCAATTAATCGATTAGTCGTTTGGCCTGGAACAAAGGAATGTGTGGCTTTTATCCTTGAAAATGTACTTAAATGATTCATTGGTAGTTGATGGTTACTTTTCCATCAATCAACTAATCCCATCAACTCGAACAGACTTTAATGAATCTGCAACAAACAAAAAAAAGTCTGTTTAAACAGTAGAAGGGTAGTAAAAAGAAATGTGTCACGGAAATTCCTCTTATTCCCGATGGAAACAGAAGAACATCAAATCAGAAACTGGAGGAGGTGTAGCACATAATGTCCCATTATTTACGTTTCTGCTTTTAAAGAAAACAGCTGAAACTGAACATCTGAACTGTTATTGTAATATCTACTATTATGTAAGTTGCACAACCCATATCTTTACCCTTGGGCATATTAGATATGAAAAAGTTACGTTGTAAATATCACAGCAACAGACTTATAATCAAAAAGTATGTTGTCGTTGCATCATGTCCCTTCATTAACAACTGGAAACTTCATACTTTCTCATTTTGTCCAGAAGTAGCAGAAGAAGCTAAAAAACCACAGCATGTACTTGTCAGAGACCTGCTGCTGAGAGCCATGTCCATGCCACATAATTACACTCACTGAAGCTGCAGTACCTTACAATATAACAAATGAAGCCTGTATTACATCCGTCACCTATCTGAGACGTCTCACTTAGTCTCATCATTTTCCCTCCTCGTCTCTCATAAGCATGGCTAATAAAATGTAAAGATGGGAGATAACACGCGGCTGACTGCGTTTTATTAAGAACCTAATGGCAATATCATTGTCGTAATGATACTAAGACGTCTAAGATGAAGGGCGGGCCCGGCGAGCGGAAGTGAGCGTGACATCACAGGCAAAAGTATGTTCTGCTGGCTTTATTTCATTATTGGTTAAGCTTTCTTATTAGGGACAGGGGGGTGGGAGGCGGGGGTGAAGCAGTGTTGCCTTTGATAAAGCAAAGCAATTTCAGCAGCTGCTACGTTGCCAAATTACAGTTGTACATCATGCGGCCCTCTCTCTCTCTCTCACCACTGCTTCCTCAACTTCTCTTCAGTCTTCCTTCTCTCCAGCTCTCTCTCTCTCTCTCTCTCTCTCTCTCTCTCTCTCTCTCTCTCTCTCTCTCTCTCTCTCTCTCTCTCTCTCTCTCTCTCTCTCTCTCTCTCTCTCTCTCTCTCTCTCTCTCTCTCTCTCTCTCTCTCTCTCTCTCTCTCTCCCCCTCTGTGTGATGTTGATCTCCATGTTGCCTGCACTGTGGAGCAGAAAGGCTGAGGGAAGAGCGAGGGACAAACCCGCTGAAACAGCAGACAACAGCCCCACCTAGAGAGAGTATTAAGTCACTGAATTATTCAGTGGGCATCAGATGATCCAGGTGCTCGTGTAGTTCGTATGATTTTCACCAATTTCTTCATTAGAATTTGACTCAAACTCACGTTGGAAGTTATATTTGTTGTTATTGTTATTTAAATCACTTTAAATTCAGTGAGGGTTGCTGATGTCATTTTATCCATGGCCATTAAGTAAAAGCTTTCATTAAACCCACTTGCACACTCTGGCAAAAGATGCTCAGGATACAGGCGTCCACCAAATTATATATTTAATCTATCATTAGTTCGTCTAGATTATAAAGACATTGCCATCTGTAATATTAGCACTATGTCTTGCATTGTAAGACACATTTAGATTTGACTGGTACTCGTGTCTTGTTAAGCCTGTAACGCTTAAAACACAGTTTATGTAGTAGAATCTACTGCTACTGCAAACAGAATACTATGTAATTATGAACATTTAGTATTCTTTATATATATATATATATATATTTATATATCTTTTAAACTAAATGTATGCATCTGTTCTTTTACTTCTGCTGCGGAAACAACTTTTGACTTATTTCATAAAAGCGCAATTCAGATTTCAGCATAGAGTAACTCCATTAAAGGGCCCGGTGCACCGGCTCTACAGCCCACGAGTCTCCCAAATGAGTCCAAATAACCTTCAGAACATCATAAACACGACCTCTCCCCTTTCCCCGAAACACGAAGCGACTCGCAGATCAACTAAACCATCAGGCTGACAGGTCTAACCTATCTGCCATTAGGACGTCAAGATATCACACTTTGCTTTAATTCACCATCTTTCAGAGTGTCGCACTTTATATTCCTTGGCATGGGAAGTCTACATGCGGATGCATAATTTATCTCAAATTAGCGCCTATTTGAGTAAGCATCAAAGCACAGCGGCTAAGGTTGGAGGAGATCTTAAGGAACCGCGGGGAAACCATGGCCAGGATTAATGCGGGAGATTTTTATAAGAAATTACTGGCTTAATGAAGTGGATAAAAAAAGCTGTCAGTGTTTTATTGCATCTAAATTGTGTGGAAGTGGTGTTTAGCTGTCTCGCCTACTCCCCACATAATGGCTCGTGACAGTAGCTGTGAGGCTTATTTAACTTAACTGGTGAATAACTTGCACGCTGAAGCTATTCAGAGAGTTGTTTTTATGTGCACTACCCCCCCCCCTCATAATGCCAACACAAGAAAACTTGACAATTAGATATTGTATTTACTATTTTAAGCATTTCAGCAAAAGTTAAAAAGATATTTTAGACTGTTAATGTATAGAACAGATCCAGAAAACACGGCCTTCTCTTCCTAACATGGTATGCGCGCTACAGCCGATTACATCATCACTGAATAAACCACTCTATAGCTCCGTCATACTGCAGGGCTCTCCGTATACTGCTCCCTGTGGTGTTAGAAGCTGCTGACATTTATAGTCGTGCTTTAACGGACGGCTGTATAATGACAGTGGTGCATGCATGCTAACTGTAAATATAACAAGTATGAAAACAGTTGGTGGGCTTGTGGAAGGGACCAAAACGTTTACCAATTAATTTTGGGGGAACAGTAGAGTAATCCTACAGCGCCATCTTGTGTTTGCTTGTATGTTTGCATTGGATTAAGGGATGTTAAGGAGAATGAATGCGTGTTGCCTCGTAATATAAAACAGTACAACAGATTGTTTGTGACTTGAGGTTTTTAAAAGAGATAGGATAGCGTTAGAGAATTTGTGTACTACTGTGCCAATAACAACAAAACTAAAATTTAAATTTTCATTTATTTCACATAGTATAGCGTCACAATACATGAAATCAATCATCCATCACAGTTCTGAAGTGTTTATCTTCTGCTGACCGATGGTGACTAGGTTGAACGTCTCGAGCCTGTTTCAAGAAGCAATGTCACAGAGTTATCAAAATAACTTTGACAAGTAAAATCCCCCAAAAAAAAACAAAAAAAAAAACAGGCATTTTACTCGACAAATGGATCAAGACGACTCGTCATTGCTGCTTCGTGAGTCAGGTTCCTGTTCTTTATGAGCAGCCAGAGTTCCCACATCTCACCCCTGAAATAAACACACAGGCATGAACATAGTGTGTGTCGCTGTAAATGGCTAAAGTAATGGAATTTGGTCTTTATCCCTCCTCGTTTAAGCGTGTAATTGTCTTGGTTAGCTTCATTTTCACTTCCTCCCCTTTGAATGCAATGAGCAGTGTTATGGTTGGCAACACACCGACGGACGCATGCTTGGAATGGGTTCATTTTGTTATGGTGGACCCGGCTGAACAGAGCCAAACTAAATACACAACATGGGTTAATCATTCTGGGCAGGACTGAAACTGTAGGTGGGGGGAAAACATGCATGTTTCAACCGGTTCACATCATCATAATCATCCCAAAATGTTTCAGACAGACGATGTGGAGTGTGGACCCCTGCACCAGTCCTGCGTCTCAACCCAATACTTTCTTAGATGGCAACAAATGAGGCTTTCATCACGACATGTTCTCATTGTTTCACTGTTGACTGAGCCATTAAATCATTTTGGCAGTGCTTTTTTTTTTTTTAAAGACAATTTCCAAATTTCTATTTTTTTTTTTTTTTTTACTAACTATGACAAACTTAATCAAAAGTTTGATTTTCAGTGGCACACAACACAGAAAAGTTACTTTCACTGATTGAAAAATGTTTAATTATGCTAATCTGCTGTTATTGAGAAGGAGGACATAAACCCTTTCTGTAAAGGTCCTGGGATCTAATTTAAACCTTTCATACACACACACACACACACACACACACACACACACACACACACACACATATATATACCTGCATTCACACACACAAGACCAAGTTAGATGGACAACACAATCCCTTTTCAGTCTGCTCATAAAACCTTGTTTTCCCTTCACGAGTGAAACCAAAAAGCGAGTTTTGGGCAGCATTCAGGTAGCGTGAGGTGAGTGGTGCTGAGAGAATGCTTGCACTGCAGACAAGCTTCATCTACATAAGGCCATCTCTGAACATGTGTGTGTTAGGACCAGCAGTTCACATCCACCATCTTTTTTTAAAATCTTTTTTTTTTTTTTTTTTTTTTTTTTTTTTAAATTTAGCATAGAAGTGGTCGGGGTGGGTTCATCACGGGACAGATTCCTGCAAACTGACATCACCGTTTGTCCATGAGCAAGCGGTGACAACAAGGGTTTGTTTTCCCCTCCTCACATTGTTCGTTAAGAGGGACCAGCAGCTTATCGCGGCCTTTGACCGCTTTAGGAAACCCGAAAAGAAAGATCCCGAACCTTTTTCCTGTCCAGGTGCAGTTTCACTCTCTTCGACTTCCTCACAGCCAACGCTGTGCCCTTGCATTCAACTGAAACGAATGCTTGAATTTCCCTTCCATCTCAGCTCGAGAAGCACTAACCCCGCTGTGCTCCAGTGCCGTCTCAGCGTCTCACAGTAATCTGGGGGCGAAGGGATTGGGATTGGCGTGAGCCCCGGTTTAGTAGTCTCTCCTCTACAGGCTCTCAGGCCCTTCTCCAGCTTTCCTTCCCTCTCTTTTTTGTTTTTTTAAATTTAGCATCAGTGTTTACACGGTGTTGCGCGGCGTGCCGTTCAGTGCGACGGCCTTGGTGCAGGGCGAGCCCACCGTCTGGGGACGCTGGGTGGAGACGCCCACCTCAAATACTTCATGGATGGCCTTCCGGAAACAGTGGAAATTGTAGTCTATTAATCCTAAGGAGGCAACAGAGACACAGACTTTGTCAGGACATACACGAGTCTTGCATTGGGACTTTCATTGTCAGTGAGAAGTCTTGATGTTCTTGTGTTTTGAAATCTTTGAATGGGGTCATAGGTGAACTCATGTGCTGACTATTACAAAAAAAAACATGCACAATTGATAATTTGGTGCATACTCCCAAGAACTACTCACTTAGTATTTATTTTCATGCATTTAACATCCACAAATTAAAGTTGTTTTCCCCATAAACTAGTTACTTTGTTACATCCAAAAAATTAAATTAATTATAT